ATGATGTCTATTTGTGGGTTTTTTTCCCATGAAGATAATTTTAATTTTAATTGTGATATGCTTTCACATGGAAAACTGTATGTATTATAAATAAGATGAAAGGATCAGATTAAATTCATTTAGAAATGGTAGTTTTAATCTTGGCCTGGGTAGTTAATAGCCTTAAATTCATTATTTAAGATGAGGAGATGAGGAGCAGGAACCGCAGGATGGATGGATGATATATATATATATATATATATATATATATATATATATATATATATATATATTGTTGAAATTGAGTATATACCCAATTCAAATGAGTATGAAACTTTTTCAATTACTTAGGTATTAACATTAACTACTTTACTAACTAGTTCAAAGCAATTTTGAACTGAATTTTAACTTGTTTTTGTTAGATTTTGATTATAGGTATATAGCATCCATACATATAATTAGATATGTATGTAATCATGGACTGTGAAATAAAGTTAAATTTGAGTTGTTTTGTTGATAGGTATAAGTATGAATCGAATTATTATAACTAGGTATATACTCACAATTTGAAAATTTTAAAAAAATTGAGTGATTTTGTGCATTAGATAGCATGGTGCCCGGGCACTATGGTGCCCCATATGAGTGCGTATATATATATCAGGTTGAATGCTCCATCAAGCGACCATTGATGATCCTATTCATTGTTAATTTTTCTTCCAGTTATATTCTGATTTGCATTCTTGGTCTGGGCTATGATCAAGTAACGGTAGTAGCGTATTGGCCGCTGGTGCCGAAGGAACCGATATCACATGCGAGATTATTTAATTATCTCCGAGGACGAACATACCCTTTCTAATTGATTTTCAAACTGTTAAGCACCTTCTAATCTTAGACTTATCTTTAAAATTCGTGCAGTTTTTTTAGTGGGAGAGCGAAGCGCATCTCGATAAGAAAACAGAGAAATGGCATAAAAATCATTACGTGCGGGGACGGTGGGAGGATCTAACGGTGTTAAATAATGGGTCCACCGATTTAAATGAAAATCAATGGTTAGATTTCTCTATTTTATTAGAGTGCCACGTGGCGACTTGAGAGTATTTATAGAGTGCCATGTGGCGGCTTGAGAGTGTTTGTAGAAAGTTTAATGGACTTTTAGTATATAATAAATAGATTTGGTACTCCCTCCTTCCATTTATATATGAAATTGGTTATATGACGTTGCTTAGTTCAAACCAATATCATATATAAGGGCATGTACAATGGTTATCAATAGTGCTCTCTTAGCGTTGCTAATTAGTAATACTTGTTAACATAGAAGAAAGAGAAAGAGGGAGAGACAAACATCGTTGTTATGCATAACAACGTCTTAACAACGACTCTTAATTACTATAATATGGAAATATGGTTGCATGAGGGTAAAAAAATGGAAAGAATATTAACAAAAGGAATATTTTCTGAGTTAATGATTAAAGCCTTGTCGTCTTAACTACTGTAAAGACACGGTCTCTAAATAATCTTATATTGTTTAAGAGACCATACTCGTCTTTACTATTGAATATGCCCTAAATGGAAGGAGGGAGTATATAATATAGAGGGTAGTTATCGATCTATCGCTTCACCAAAATTCAAGTTAACTTTGTCAGTTATATATTTAGTATTTTGCCGGTTTGTTTATATTTTACATGACAAAGAAAGGTTAGTTTCTTATGAAAGTAAATACTTTACAAAAGTGTCTAAGTATGCATTCGGATAAAGTGGTTGGGATCTCCTCCTCTGTGCACGTAAAACCGGGTAGCTTATTAACGTATGACTAATTAATTATTAACTAGAAAAACTTGTAAAATAGATAATTTCAATGGATTAATATACTATTTAGCAATTCGAAAAGCGTGCTATTGAAAAAAGACGGAATAAAGGATGAGAACAGGCCTAGTTTCTACTACTTCCTAAGGCGGCCTAAAGCAGTTTTATCTTGTGTACATCGCGATAGATATAACCATGCATGAAAGAAAACATAAATTCGCATGAATTAACACACAATATCTTGTCTGTCAGATTCGCTGTCCATGTTCATGAATTTATTATCCATCAAGATGTAGCAGTGCGTTTTTGTTGTCCTTGATTTCCAGCTTTGGGATCATCGGTTCAAATTGCCTCTACCCTGTTAGCTAGGCTGTGAGTATATATAGTTAGATCTTACTTGTTTCGAATGTCATAGGTGGTTCTTACCTGTTTCTAATGAAATATATATATAACGAAGAGGGATCTATTTAGACCTGTCTCTAATAAATACAGAGTATATATTGTAGTTACCATTCCAATGCAAATTAGTTTGAATCTCCCACTCATCTCTCGCAAAAATCATATTTTAATTAAACTGCTAGCCAAAAAATTATCATTCCTCTTCTTTTTCTTCCTATTTTTCGTCTCCTTGTCTCCTCGTCTCTCAACACTTACATCGCTTTAGTGAACACGCACATACATTCTAGTGATCACCCAAGTAGACATATCTCGTGTGGTTTTTCAAATGCAGGCTAGCTCTCCTACAATCTTGCCTAGTGAGATTTGGTGCTCACTTCATCAGCCTATGTGTTAGACTCTCCAATATAATAATGGGACCGATAAGTTAGCCTCACTTTGGATGCATCCCCCCTTTCTCTTCCGGTGGCGAGTACCCACCCCATCTATATCAGCCATTGCATGCATGAGAGCCGGTAAGGCCAACTCTAGAGCCATCGCATAGAAATATAGGAAGCTAGGAGGAGGGCGGGGTGGCTGCCTCTGTCACCGCCGTAGCACGGAAGCTAGGAGAGCCGTCTCCGGTGCCACCACACGGGAGCAGAGGCGAGGAGAGGAGGGGTGGGGTGGCTATATTTGTCTCATCATGCTCCTGCTCTTGCACACCTGATGCAGCCAAGATGGGCATGCAATGCTTATAAAACGATTTTCACATGCCCCATGCTCTTCTCACAGGGCGCCCCAAAAGTAAGTTCAATTGTGAGGATGGCTTAGGCCGCCTCAGGATTATCAACCGCTATCTATTTTGAAAGACGGGGCATTTTATTTCCACCAGCGGTTTTTCTATGGATTAAAAAAATCATTTTTAGAGGTGATAAAAATGGGGTAATATTTACAGGTTGTTCTCTTATGAAAAGAAGACAGGTAGATATCGCAATAACAAAATCAATTAATGTGCTACACCAAGGACATGCCACAAAAATTTTAGAGCAAAATTAATTTTCGCTATGAACTTCCAGGTCAAAAAAATTGATGGTGGACTTTGTCCATGATCAGCTTGGATGCGCAATCAGGAGCAGAAGAAACCAAGCTTGTTTTACCTCAATGAGGAGTAGGAGTGAAAATTTTTAAGCACATTGGAACACATTTGCATGGATTAAAATATGAAAAATTTGTGGGCCTTAATTTCTAGGAGCCTTTTCGGTCACCTACTTCACACTGCCTCAACGACGTGCTTGTATATATAGTATGGTGGAGGACCCCTATCATGTCCCGTCTTTAGAAATGGATTATCAGCGGAGGCTAATTCAAATCATCCGTTCTTAAACTAAACTCATGGGGTTGGTGGTTTGAATTTTCATCCGTCGGACGTACTTTTAAATTCGTGATAGGAGTGGTAAAATTTTTTTGTGCTCTAGCTTAGGGTCTGTTTGGCATAGCTCCAGCTCCAGATCCACCTCTTCTAGAGCTAGAGTCTAGCCTAGCTAGAGCTAGGTGGAGCTAGGTGGAGCTCTCTCACAAAATGAACTAGAGATGTGGAAGCTGGGTTTAGCTAGGCAGCTCCACAACTCCACTCCAGACCCAACTCCTAGAGTTAAATTTAGGGCCTGTTTGGCACAGCTCCAACTCCAGCTCTACCCCTTCTGGAGCTGGAGCTCAGCCAAACAGTTTCAGCTCCACCAAAACTGGGAGTGGAGTTGGGTGGAGCTCTCTCACAAAATAAACTAGAATTGTTAGGCAGCTCCACAACTCCACTCCAGACCCAACTCCTAGAGCTAAATTTAGGAGTTGGAACTGTACCAAACAGGGCCTTAGGAGTTGAGCTCTACAGCTCCAACTCCTAAATTTAATTCCATGAGTTGAGTCTGGAGTGGAGTTGTGGAGCTGACTAAGGGCCTGTTTGGCACAGCTCCAGCTCCACTCCTCCTGGAGCTGGAGCTCAGCCAAACAGTTTCAGCTCCACCAAAACTGGTAGTGGAGTCGGGTGGTGCTCTCTCACAAAATATACTAGAGTTATGGAGCTAGGTTTAGATAGCTCCACAACTCCACTCCATACTCAACTCCTGGAGTTAATTTTAGGAGTTGGAGCTGTACCAAACAGGCCCTAAACCCAGCTCCACAACTCTAGTATATTTTATGAGAGAGCTTCACCCAACTCCACTCCCAGTTTTGGTGGAGCTGAAACTGTTTGGCTGAGCTCCAGCTCCAGGAGGGGTGGAGCTGGAGCTGTGCCAAACAGGCCCTAAACGGGCTCTTAGTGATGGAGAATCGAAATTGTGCCACGGGGTACTTACAGGCGCACAACGGTAGCCCCCATTCCGCACACTGTTTTTTACTATATATATATACATTAAAGTTATGTTAATTTATAGAGAATTGACATATATATTATATACTACCTCCGTTTTTTAATAGATGACGCCGTTGACTTTTTCTCACATGTTTGACCATTCGTCTTATTCAAAAATTTTACGTAATTATAATTTATTTTGTTATGATTTGTTTTATCATTCATAGTATTTTAAGTGTGATTTATATCCTATACATTTGCATAAAATTTTTGAATAAGACGAATGGTCAAACATTTGAGAAAAAGTCAACGGCGTCATCTATTAAAAAACGGAGGGAGTATATTATAGTTATAATGTAATTACATTGTATACAATCGTATTGTAGTTACGTTCAAAAGTTTAAAGAGAGTTTTTTTTAACTGTATAGCTAGTCTCCAATTAGGGAACCACGTTAGACGATTTGCCAGGATCAGACAGTATTGTACCTTACAATTGAGATCAAACAAGTTGCACATATATTATGCACATCCCTGATTATATTAATTACTTGCTGATACCAAACAAATAGACACACACACACAAATTAAACTTGTGAGTAAAAGCTAATGCATCAAAGAAAACCATTATTCTGCAGACAAACTGACATGACAGGAAATCATATGCAACAACACCAAACGTACTAACCAAACGAACCATGCATGCATGCAAACTTCCATTGCTTAATTCGCCGGAGGGCTAGGGTTGTGGTACTCTGGCGCAGGCTGCGGCTTGGGCTCGGGCTTAGGCTCAGGCTTGGGTGGCACGGGCTTCTTGTGGAAGTGGTCGAAGAAGTGCTTCTCCTTCTTGTGGATGTGGTCGAGGAATGGGTGCTCCGGCTCAGGCTTGGGCTTGGGTGGCTCCGGCTTTGGCTCCGGCTTGGGTGGCACCGGCTTCTTGTGGAAGTGGTCTATGATCTTCTTCTTGATTGGGCCGCAGATGGTCACGGACGCGCACAACGCCGATCGGTAGTGGGTCTTGCCGGCGACGGCAGCAAAGGTGCCCTCCGACATTGGCACGATCTTGGATGGCTCCTGGCCGGGGCATGGCTCGTTGGTGGCGCTGTGGAGCTGAGCGATGCAGTCGGAGCTGTGGAGGTCGGCGTCAAGGGGGACGCTGAAGGCACCGGTGCCGTCGAGCTTTCCAGTGGCCTTGCTCTCGTACTCGCCGTTGCCGTTCTTGCACTTAATCGCCACCTGGAGGTCTGCACAAAAGAATTCCAAATAATATTGTCAATCACTTGTAATCAACTGTATCTTCCTCTCGATCGACGATGTAAATCAGCTCAATGATCAATTCCAAATAAATTGTTACGTACTCTTGAAAGCATCCTCAGCTTTCATGTTCTTCCGGGTGCAGTCGGCGCACTTGGCCGTGCCGACGACCACCGACGCCGCCTCTCCGCCGACGGCGACCGCCATCAAGACGGCACAAACGCCGAGGAGAACTAGTCCTCGAGGAGCACCTGCCATTGCTGATCAGCTAATCCTAGATAGCTCTGTGTAGCTAAATATTGCTGATGTGTAGAGATGGATGAAGTGAAAGGTGAGGCAACGCGTGGTTTATATAGGCATCGATGAATACAAACACAGCTTGCTTGCATTATTGATACATCAATCGATGGATCGACCAGCTAGCTATGAGCAATGCAAAAAGGGCCAATTTGGCGCCGAATTTGCAGATGGGCGAATTAAGGCCGTCCAAACTGAATGATTTGATCACGTACGTCCAATATAGTCGCCTCTGCAGCTTTACCTACGACATCATAATAATCTATCGATCGGTTGGTACGTATACGTAGGATCTACGCACCGCTTTATGCATGAATGAATCATAACAATAATTAAGTACAATAATCGAACTGGGTCTTAACTCCTTGTAAACTGCGGTTGACCTCTGTTTCAGCAGTGAGTTACAGTGATCGGCTACTTATTGCAACACTTTCCAAATGTACTGCATTCATATCGTGCTACATTCGTCCAAAAGACAATATATATATAAGCAAATTGTCCCTATATATAATCATAGCATTCAAATTTTGTTCTGAAAAGAATGTAATTCTAAATTACTACTACCACTACTACAAAGATAGATTCTCCTGGACACCGCCCCCTTTTGTTTTCATGCGGTCTGTAAGTGGAACCGCACGGAAAAATAGGGGGACCGGCGCCGGGTTCTCGCCCGCATGGAAAAATGCATTTTCCCGTGCGGGCGTCTTAATCCGAACGCACGGGATAATTGTCATTATCCCGTGTGGTCGACTTAAGATGACCGTATAGAAAAATCGATTTTCGCATGCGGGCTTTTTAAGTGGACCACACAGGAAAATACCTCCCACCTTTCCCTCCCACCCACTTCAAATTTTTCACATCCTCTCCCTTCCTTTTTCCCTTTTATTCTCCATCAACCACCCCCCTCTCTCTCTACCTTATCTCCTTTCTCAGCCTTCCCGGCTTCCCACCTCCTCCCCACCTTCCCGGCTTCCCCTCCTCCTCCCCCTCCCCTCCTCCGTCAACAGCGGGCGTCGGTGGCGGCCCCTTCCACTCGTCCTCCCCCTCCCCTACTCCCCTTCCCCTCTGTCAGGCCGACGATGGCGGTGGCCGGGTGAGGCGGCGACCGAGCGAGGTCCTGAGCAGCGAGGCGGAGGCGTCGTCGTCCGTTCGTCTATTCCTCCGTCCAAAGATAACCATGGTGGGACCCTCCTCCTGGTCGTCATCCTCGTCGTGCACGTTGTCGCTCGGGTCCCTCGACGACGATGCCGTCGTCACGTGCGTCATCAAGGCAGCGGCGGAGAGCAGGTGGCGGCGAGCGGGTGGCCCCTTTCCACGGTCGTCGTCCTCGTCGTGCCTCCCTTTCCACGGTACACCAGCGAAGCAGCGGTGAGCGGGCGGCCCCTGCCCGGATTTGGCGCGACTGTGGCGGCGGCGGGTGGGCTCGACGGCGATGACGGTGGCGGGCTCGGCGACGGCCGGGTGCGTGCGGTCCGGCGGGCGGCGGCGATTTTCGCTTTTTTTAAAAAAAATTTTGGTTTTTTCGGTTCTGTGCAGGCGGTATAATTTGACCACACGGGATAATCGATTATCTCGTGCGGTCCACTTAACACGACCGCACGGGAAATTGATTATCCCGTGCGGTAGAGCTGCCCGCACGCGAAAATATTGATTTTTCAAGACACTTGGGTGCAGACGGGCAAATCCTCTGCACGGGAAAATCATTTCGACCGCATGGAAAAATGTTTTTTGTAGTAGTGTACATCCGTCCCAAAATATAAAGGTGGAATTAAAGTGAGAAGATTTGAATGGTGAAAAATCATGATTGAAGCAGGGTAAAGTGGAATTAAAGATGAAGGATGCAATACATTTAGAAAGTACAACATGCCAATATTGCAATACATTTAGAAAGCACAACCACACTATTATTACAACCACATGCAAAAAATTACAAAATGATAAAAGGGACCTAACAAAGCTAGAATAACTCAAACACTAAACATCCTATTATTGGACGGCCAACAATTATTTAAGATAAAAAAAGTGCACCTTTATGATGGTTGTATTACCACTATCAGTATTATCACTAGTAGATCGAAGTGAGATCTCAAACCTTGATTTATCATTACTACAATTAATAAAAAAATTCTAGTACCAATAGTGGCAGTAGTATAAATAGATACGAGAACCATTAAATTAAAAAAGATGAAAGGCCTATATTGATCTGTACTAAGAGTAAGACTATTGTAAAACATCTCGCTGTCTAGCTTCAAGGCTCACACCAATTATCATATGCTGCAACTTTCTCAAGCTGAAGAATAACGTTTTCCTCACACCAATTATCATATGCTGCAACTTTCTCAAGCCGAAGAACAACGTTTTCCTTTGGGAGGGCATAAAATCGTTTTCTTTTTGTTGGGAGGACGAACATGCGGATAATTCAATTTAGGGCCAAGAGCCTACATATATGTACTGAGATGGGCCAAGGAAGAAAAAGAGCCTACTATTCGTTAATTGAAATTTTCTTTGCTCGGTACGTCCACTTGTATTTCGCTGATGGTTTTTGGCTGTCAAGGCTAGTTGAGTTCATGGTAGTGCAAGTCACGCGCACTTTACAAGGACGAAAAAAAGATGCTATCACATTACTCCTAATTAATCACAATGCATTCATGTGGACACCGCATAGAAAGGTGTATGCATCCTGCGTATAGGTACCAACCGGCTGAAGAACCGCGTCGTACCTAGGCAACGTCGTGATCGAATGTGACAAGGATCCAGATTGGACGTACGTGATCAAAATCATTCAGTTTGGACGGCCTTAATTCGTAGCATCTGCAAATTCGGCGCCAACTTACAGCCGCTTTGCTGATCATCGACCGATCGATCGGTCGAGCTGTATTCAACTATTGATCGATCATCGATGATGATCGATGAGCACGAGAGGCTAAGCCTATATAAATCGCGCGTTACCTGTCTTTCTCTTCATCCATTCAGAGTTAGCAAGCTCTTCTAATTCATATATAGAACTCAGAATGGCAGGTGCTCCTCGAGGACTAGTTCTCCTCGGCGTTTGCGCCGTCCTGATGGTGCTCGCCGTCAGTGGCGAAGCGGCGTCGGTCGTCATCGGCACGGCCAAGTGCGCCGACTGCACCCGGAAGAACATGAAAGCCGAGGATGCTTTCAAGAGTATGTAGCAGTTTACCTTACATGCAGCTTAGCTACGTTATACTTCCTCCGTTCCCAAATAATTTTATTTTTCACACGTTCCACACATACCAATGCAAAACAAAAGAAAACTAGAATTCTAAAATCATTTGTGGATTTCTTTGTGCAGATCTCCAGGTGGCGATCAAGTGCAAGAACGGCAATGGCGAGTACGAGAGCAAGGCCGCTGGAAAGCTTGACGGCTCCGGCGCTTTCAGCGTCCCTCTCGACACCGACCTTCACAGCTCTGACTGCATTGCCCAGCTCCACAGCGCAACCAACGAGCCATGCCCCGGGCAAGAGCCATCCAAGATCGTGCCATTGTCGGAGGGCACCTTTGTCACCGTCGCTGGCAAGACCAGCTATCCGTCGGCTTTGTGTGCGTCGGCGACCATCTGCGGCCCCATCAAGAAGAAGATCATCGACCACTTCCATAAGAAGCCGGTGCCACCGAAGCCGGATCCCAAGCCAGAGCCGCCCAAGCCGAAGCCAGAGCCAGAGCACCCCATCCTCGACCACTTCCACAAGAAGGAGAAGGACTTCTTTGACCACTTCCACAAGAAGCCCGTACCACCCAAGCCTGAGCCAAAGTCGGAACCCAAGCCACAGCCCAAGCCACAGCCAGCGCCTGAGTACCACAACCCTAGCCCACCAGCGAAGCACTAAACATTATCTACGTTTGGTCTTGTATGATTTCGTGCCATATCAGTGTGTCCGCAGAATAACGCTTTCTACCCCCGTGTGAGATTATACATTGAAATATAATGTACTTGCTAGCTTTCATCCGCAGGAGTTTTTTTTTTAAAGTGTGACCGGGTTCATTTATTGGATATCGCATGCATATTAGCAGGGCACGATGTGTACTGTAATATCTGCCTGTTGTTTTTATTTCTCTACCTAAATGAAGTTAACCACAAAGGACAAACATAAATTCACATGAAATATTGACTCTGGATTCGCTGTGCACGTTTATGAATTTATTGGCCATCTAGCGAGAATAAGCAGTGCGAGTGTGCTGTCCTTGATCTCCAGCCTTAAATGGGGAAAGCATTGATTCAAACGTACTAGCCTACCTGTAAATTAAAGTGGCGTGCATGGAATTTAAATATATTTTAAATTAATTATATGCTCATGCATTAATTATAGCTAGAAAAATGGGCCAAAATCAATTGTTAATAAGTGAAAATTATTGCAGTTCGATCGGGAAAAAATTTAAAAACTGGGTGATTTGATGATTTTTCACTCTTTTGATTGGGAATTTGAAGATCGATTTACCATAACACATCATTGACTCAAAGGGTCATATGTGCCATCAAATTTGCCGAAACAGTTCTCTCATATGATGGGGGATCACTATCATACATACTAGACGACATTCTATGTTTTACTACACGATATATAGATGAATACCAAATGAATATATGTTAAATATTATAAAAATGATAAATAGATTTGGTTTGAGTTGAAATAATGGGAGAAATGATAATTTAGCGAGCTTGTATATATGCTGAGGTTTAGAATGTAATGAATTTTAGCATACTTGCAAGTTGAGTTTTATGTGTTTAATGGGACACTATGGTATGCTTAGTATGCTTCCTTGTTAAGCTTTAGTTGCTTTCTTGCTTAGTGGGTTGTAACTATATACAGAAGGTATATATGTCTGTGAAGTTGAAGGCACACTTCGATTTCAATTGGAAGATGACACATTGACAAACAGGCAACATTACAGTGCAGAAAAAAAAATCAAATTAACTTCAATATGTGAATTTTGCAATTTATGAATGTCTTATCTTCCAAACGAAAAATAAAGTACATATGTATTGAATTTACTTCTTTAGTTGTATGATAGGATCTCGTCTACACCTGGGAATTTTTGTGAATCGTTTCAAAAGGCTGCCCAGAGTCTATGAAGTAGCTAATTAATTTCCACGATTTCACACAACCAGTGGTTTAATTCACCTGATATTGCCCAAATTAATAACATCAATTAGGATCCTTCAAATTAAAATAAATATATATACCTGCTGTCAAGGAAAGCCTATTCATTAATTCTTTTGGTTTAAATATTTAGTATATGTTGGAAATTTTCTATCTTTTAAGAACTAAGACTAGATAACAAGAATTAAAAAAAGGCAAAATTGGTTATATAGTATCGAAAGTTCACGTTTTTGGTTTTATAGCACTGAAAGATACCGGTTCACTTTAATAGCACCTAAAGTTCACCCTGTTCCTATTTTTAACACTTTCGTCAATCCTCGATCGTTTTCCGTCCGCCTTGATCGCTATTGACCCAGTCACGCACGCGATATGACGTTTCTACCCCTCATAGGCTGGGTCAATAGCGATCAAGGCAGACGGAAAACGATCGAGAATTGACGGAAGTGTTAAAAATGGGAATGTGGTGAACTTTAGGTGCTATTAAAATAAACCGATATCACTCGGTGCTATTAAAGTAAACCGATATCATTCGGTGCTATAAAACAAAAAAACGTGAACTTTTGATGCTATCTAACCAATTTTGCCAAAAAAATTGACAAACATGCATAGTACAACACATTTAATTTGTTTCGGCTCATAATATGGTCTGGTTGTCATATTTTAGTAAAAAAAGAAAAGGAAACCCATATGCACAATGGTACAATGCTTATATTTGCCAATTATAGTGATATTCATCTCTAAATATTTATAACAGAACCAACAAAAATTAACATTCATAGATGAGAAATGGCCATAGGCCTCAAAAGTATAGAAGTTATTTTTTAAAATCAATTAGCTGATGAGGGAATATAAGCCTACGGGCATTTCTCATCTATGAATGTTAATTTCTATTGGATCTGTAATAAGTAATTACATATTGTTTTTTTACAATCTCATACTTCGTATACCCAATCAATATATATAAGTTGTAATCTAGATTCTGATCGACCGCACAATCAAAGAAGAATTTTCTCTGTCCTCTTTTTTTTTTCCATGTCTCCTTCTGCCAAAAACCCCTTAATTATGTTTCCTGCTTTGTCAATTAATCTCAAATGTTCAAAATCTTTATCTGTCAGTACTTTGTGCTGCACATATGTACTAAGTGCATATATACATGCAGACAATAAATTACCTTTAAATTTGCATGTGTTAAGCGATCATATATTCAAAGGATCCAATCCAATAACAATCCAATGCATTTGCAAAGTATATACTGCAGATACGATGTACGGCTCATTGTAGTACTCCTGATCAATTAATCATCTCTCAGACTCAGTTTACAAGAAGTTAATTAAGACGCAGTGCGATTATTGTACTTATTGCTGTTAAGATTTCACATGCATGCATAAATAAAGCGGTGCGTGGATCCTACGTATACCAACCGATGGATAGATCATTATTTTCTCGTAGCTGGGCTGCAGAGAGGATTGGACGTACGTGATCAAATCATTCAGTTTGGACGGCCTTAATTCGCCCATCTGCAAATTCGGCGCCAAATTGGCCCTTTTTGCTCATAGCTAGCTGGTCGATCCATCGATTGATGGATCAATAATGCAAGCAAGCTGTGTTTGTATTCATCGATGCCTATATAAACCGCGCGTTTGCCTCACCTTTCACTTCATCCATCTCTACACATCAGCAATATTTAGCTACACAGAGCTAGCTAGGATTAGCTCAGCAATGGCAGGTGCTCCTCGAGGACTAGTTCTCCTCGGCGTTTGTGCCGTCTTGATGGCGGTCGCCGTCGGCGGTGAGGCGGCGTCGGTTGTCGTCGGCACGGCCAAGTGCGCCGACTGCACCCGGAAGAACATGAAAGCTGAGGATGCTTTCAAGAGTACGTATTCCCTATGTAGTTTCGTATTATAAGTCGTTTTGATTTTTTTAAAAGTTAAATTTCTTTAAGTTCATAGAAAAATAGTAGCATTTTCAACCTAAAACAAACATATTATTAAAAACTTTATCAAAATATATTTAATATTGGATTTAATGAAGCTAATTTAATGTCTTAGATATTGCTATTTTATCTATAAATTTAGTCAAACTTAAAAAAAATAATTTCAAAGCGAATTATAATATGAAAAAGAAATAGTAATATTTCACAATGCATGATGCAAACTGCATCATCTAGAGAAAGATACAGCTGGTTACAAGTGATTCACAATACTATTTGGAATTTTACTATGCAGACCTCCAAGTGGCGATCAAGTGCAAGAACACCAACGGTGAGTACGAGAGCAAGGCTGCCGGAAAGCTCGATGGCACCGGCGCTTTCAGCGTCCCCCTCGACGCCGACCTTGACAGCTCCGACTGCATCGCTCAGCTCCACAGCGCCAACAACGAGCCATGCCCTGGTCAGGAGCCATCCAAGATCGTGCCAATGTCGGAGGGCACCTTTGTCGCCATTGCCGGCAAGACACACTACCCATCAGCGTTGTGCGCGTCAGCGACCATCTGCGGTCCCATCAAGAAGAAGATCATAGACCACTTCCACAAGAAGCCGGTGCCACCCAAGCCGGAGCCGAAGCCGGAGCCACCCAAGCCGAAGCCTGAGCCGGAACACCCCTTCCTCGACCATATCCACAAGAAGGAGAAGCACTTCTTCGACCACTTCCACAAGAAGCCAGTGCCACCTAAGCCAGAGCCGAAGCCAGAGCCCAAGCCAGAGCCCAAGCCGCAGCCTGCGCCGGAGTACCACAACCCGAGCCCTCCGGCAAAGAACTGATGAATATGATCCGCACTGGACGTTTGATCATGCCGTCCTGCCCCCTGTCAGATTGTCTGCATAATAACAGTTTGAGATCGAAGTCATGCATTAGCTTTCATCGACAGGAGTTTTAATTTGTACTTGTATCTATTTCTTCTCTATCAAATGCAGTTATATATGGTAAGATAATTTATTTATATTTAATCAGTACTGTTGTGGCGGACTATTCACTGTATCAGCCAAAGCCATTGGATCGTAAGAGGTTAGCATTGGTTAAAGAAAAAGTTATTTTTATCTGACAAACTAGTCCCAATGACGGAATTTTCCTGATGTTGATACGTCACGAATAATTTTCGAGACGTTTTTTTGCTTTATCCTAGTGATTTTTGGCCATCATAAGTAATCTAGTTGCTGGTAGTATCTTTTAATTCTTAGAATGTGCTTGGTTGCGGCTTACAAAACGTGCTACGTGCCCAAAAGCAACCAAAATAATTTGGTGCTTAATTAACTTTTATTTATAAGCTATGGCTGAAACATAGAGAATGATAAAAAAACATGTATACTAATATAAATTGAATTTTTTTAAATTGAGAGTTAAACTGATGAGTTGCCAAGTACATACTTCAATCATATTATTACCCTTATAACTATTTGACTAACAAGTCTTGCCTGTCTGTCGTACCCCCCATTGGTTTCCCCCTCAGTTCAGTTTTAAGAGCGAACCAACCTAAGATGAATAATTCATGAAATATATGTACAGTACGCGCACCTATGGATTTTCCTAGACTAGTATCTCTTATATAAGTTCTTTTTAATAATTTTTTAGTTTTAGTTAAAATGAATGAAAAACAAAATCATCTAATCCAGAAAATGTAACCAAAAAATTGAACAGCAAAAAAATCCCCCATGCTAGTTATTGTCCTATAATTTGGAATTTGTCAAGAGTTTTATGTCTTACACATTGATCTCCAGTCAGTTATACATGCATCCTGATTTCATGAACATTTCTAGTTCAACTGTTTAACAGTGACATGCATGGCTACCAGCAGTAGACATATGCATATGAAATAGTAGAACAAATTCCACAGTAAGACCTTTCACATTTTTTTAATAACTCTGGTATGGCCAGTTGACATTAACTTCTTCCACAATTTGGCAACTTTTTGTCAACTCTGGTGATTGATGCATTCACCGAGGTGGCCAAGATCTCATTCTTCTGGCATTCTGACATCCATTTCAATGCTGTCCACACTTGCTATCCACAAGTACTGGTTCACCTCCCTAGCTAGCCATCTCTAATACCCTCACCACCCCCCCCCCCCAAAATCAACCAGGCATCAAGTTGATCTTCTACATGACTTCCCTATCTACTCCCATGCCAATCCCATCGCATCAAGAATTCAAGGTGACAGTAAAGTACTTCCTATTATAATCACAGACAAATTAACTCAGACAATCCATACACTGCTCAGCCTAAAAAAGACCAGATACAGGAGTGACCACAGTCAACAGTGAAACTCTGGAATCTGAACTATAGTTAATTAATTGGGACTATTCAACCAATTCAATTCTCACCTGTCAGATTTTTCACTGGACAAATAAAAATGACCCTACCAAATAGCAATTGGGATATTAGAAAAATGGGCCCAACTGATAGTGGCTTGTACAGCAAAAATTTATTAAATTTTCATGCTGTGCCTGGTTGGATTTCTGCTGACATCGCTTCCTAAATGAATTGCTAGTATCAGTAGTACCAAATCAATCTGAATTAACTGCTAGTCACCAGTACAAAAAGGTTTTTTTCTAGACGGCCCAAAACCTAATCTCGTATGCGGAAGGTCGGCCTGTCTGCCGCAAATGATTTGAAAAAAAATCTGATTTATACGTATGGGATGTGCACCTGCACGCGAAAATCCAATTTTCGCGTGCGGATGCTTATGTCGTTCACAAGTAAAATAAAAATAAAAAAATTAAAATAAAAATAAACATAACCCTAGAATCTAGGCGGCGTGGCGCGGATCCGGCCATCGGGCGCCTGTGGATCGAGCCATTGCGGGGCCGGCTCCCGCGAATCCGGCTGTCGTGGGGCTGGCAGAGGTGGATCCGTCCACCGTCGTCCACCGAGCCGCTTGCCCCCGCGCCCTAGGTGTCATTCGCCACTGTCGTGTGCCGCGCTAGCTGCCGCCTGAGCGCTCAAGGAAGCCGGAGCCATCCGCCGTCCACCGCAGGCCGTCGCGGGGCCGATGCCCGCGGATCCGTCTGTTGAGGGCCCGGTGGCAGCGGATCCGGTAGTCGCGGGGCCCGCGGAGGCGGATCCGTCCACGCCGTCCGCCAAGGTGCCATCCGTCACCACTGTGCGCTGCGCCCGCTAGCGCCCGCCGCCACCACCATGCGCCGCTAACACCGCCGCCGCTTGCCAGTGAGTTAGAGAGGAGAGGAGGTGAGAGTGAGAAGAGAGGAGAGTATAAGGTTGAAATAATGAGGAGAGGAAGTGAGAAAGGATAGGGATGAAAAATTTTGAAGTGTTGAGGAGAGAAATGAGGAGGTAACTCAGACTTTGGGCGGATCCTTAAGAGGCTGTATGTGAAAATCGATTTTCGTATGTTGTTGCATAAGAGGCCCCTTAAGTTGTATTGACTGCTATGTGTCTACGGGAGTTATTTTAAAGATGGCAATCTATTTCATGGATTGATAGTCTTACTCAATATTTCTTATACTTCCTAGATTTTTATATCTAGCTCGTGGGTGTGTTTCGACTGATAGGTGCTCTCATTACGGTTCTATCTTGATTCAGTTCACTGAGTTTAATTAATGAAGCTTTCATTATCTAAAAATGTCTAGAAGCATTATCTACCGTATAATTGTTAGGGATAATGACGTTCAAAAACATAAAGACAACATCTAACTTTACATGATGATATAGTGGTAACTGTTCAATACTTGCTGCACCTAGAGAGAGAGAGAGAGTGACAGTACAGATGTATCCATGTAACCAATAATCTAGCTACTTCTGCAGGAACCAACCAAGAATTGCTGCGTATTGGCAGCTTGCAATGAATGTCACTCAATCAAGCATGCAGCAGGAGGGTTGCTATCACCTTTCCATTGCATTGCCTTAATCAGATTAATATTGTGCAGAAATTAAGCAAAACCACATGCAGCCTCGTGTTAGGTGAATTTGGCGCCGAACGGATTGATGAAACAGCCAAACCTCCTCGAGCTCAACTAATTATATACCCGATTTTAGGCTAATGTTTACTCTTAATTAAGCAATGAACCTAGATGTAAGAAATTACGCGTGTTCACTCTTAGAATTTTATATGATAATAGTAGAAATAACAAGATATGTAGATAGGTAGACAACATAACTTCATATGCTTCATTTATATAAATTTTATCTTTGATCGACTATTAAAAAAAAGCTACAAACAATTAATATGGTGATGTTTGATTTAAAAAAAATGTTAAAAATATAGTCATAATTCGACATATTTTAATAAAAAAACATGACAGTAAACATGACATGTGAATGAAATGATGATCCAATGTAGTGCTAAACATTAATATGTAATAGTAATAGCTAGCATCATGCATGTAGTAACATGTTTAGCAATAAACTGAATAGAGCATTATATTTGAAGACCGCTCCAGATTTCAGATGAGTCATTGTTGATGTGTTGCCTCTGTTGTCGTCGCTGTTCTCTCCTCTACCTCTGTTGCTAATGTTCCCTTCTCCACTGGCATCGTTCTTAGTACTGATCGACATGATCCAAGTTATCTATGTAGAGGAAAGAGAACGTGACGTATAGGATGCAAAGCCAAGAGCAGTAGCGTGAAAAAGTGCTCCCTAAAAACTTGATTGTCCGTCTACCTATCCAGGTACTCAGGTGGACAGAGTTCTGGAGGCGTGTCCCAAGTACCCGTGCACGTAGGCTGCATAGAAACAGAAGAATAGAGTGTGTCGTCTCACGGAGAACTAGAGGAGAGATCTGCCTATACTTGGAGGATAACGAGAGAGAGGGAGACGTTATGGGAGGGATTAATTTCGATTGAGTGCTCCGCCCATTACAACAGAACAAGTCTCCGTCAGTTATGTTTTTACACATAAAAATGAAACATCCTGAAGGAATGCAGCCGTTGTCGCCTCGCTCTCTTGCTCGCACACTCTCCTCGGCCTCCTCCACAGCCATGGCCTCCCCCGGCTCGGCGTGACTGCACGCACGCGTGTGCAGTCCCACCACCATATCAACTGCTAAATATGTGCTCTCAGTTAACAGCCAATTTAAGATGAGGTCTTTTTCCATTGGTTTCCAAGGTAGTATTAATTAATCCCATAGCATTAATTGTTGGCCTTTGGAATTACTAGGTTTAATTTTAGGCCGATATCATTTAATTCTAACAATTCCCACCGAATTTTAAGGCTCATAGAAAATGTTCTCAGCTTTGTTTTTGTTTGTTATACCAGTGTTTTGGTTGAGACTGTTAACTTGAACTTTCACCCAGAAAAAGAACTACACCTGACCACAACTGATTAATGGATTATGTCTTGAATTATCAGTCTTGTTCAGTCAGGCTTTACTCAATTCCTTAACTGATACTAGGCTGGCATTAGCATCCCCTCTATTTGGAGCATTTAAGTCATACTATTGGCTTTTCCATAAGTATCTAGAGATCAGCCAAATTTTATAGGCTGTGATTAGCAGTCGGACTCATATTGGTGTGTTCCTTCTAAGATGTTTTATAGGCCAACATCTCTACTTTAAGAAAAATCACTCAATCACATTAATGTATCTCCAACTTGCCATACAGACCAGGAGAGAACTACATCAAAGAAAGAAGCCTTTTTAAGGTCTCTTCTCCCAGCTACCTAATAGGATGTTTCGCCACCCTAATTTACCAGATCTTTGATCACATAGGACAGGTTACCACTATTGTGTAGCTCAAGTATGTCTCAAGCCCATCTCACTCGATGCATTGTCTGTCACAAACCCGTATGGCTGGTCCATATAGCTCACCTCCTCCAACTCCCCATTAAGAAAAGTTGTTTCAACGTCCATCTGATGAACGATAAGACCATAAGAGGCTACCAGAACAAATAATACTCAAATTGTGGTCAAGCGAGCAACTGATGAATAAGTGCCGAAAAAAATCATTGCCTTATTTTTGGGTATAACCCTTGGCCATAAGTCCTGCCTTATACTTTTCAATTGTACCATCAGGCCTAAACTATTTTCTTGAGAACTCATTTGTATCCTATAGGTTTGCAGTCGTATGGACACTCGACAACTTCGCAAGTACCATTAGACGTAATTGAGTCCATCTCACTGCATAGCGCTTCCTTCCAATAGTCAGCATCAGGAGATGAATATACCGAGATGAATATACCTCTTCTATGGTTCTTGGAGTATCATCCACAAGGTATACAATGTATTCATCATCAAAAGACTTTGCAGTCCTTTATCTCTTACTCTTTCGAGTAGCTATAGTGTTATCCTCCTCAAGATTTTTCCACAGGCGTTGTTCATCGTGTTCTATCGGCACAAAAGACTCGGGGATAAAATAAGTTCTTGACTAGAAGTGCTAGGTACATATTTCTAGGAAATCCATTCTAAAAAATTGTAGCATCTCTAGGCTCAAGAATTGTACCAACAATCATATCAGGTATTCCAGAATTTACAATTAAGAATCTTTATCCCACGCTGTGGATAGCATAACTAAGGAATACACAATTTATGGTTTTTGGTCCAAGTTTGTGCCTTTTGACTATAGGCGCATTGACCTTAGCCAAACATTCCCATGTGCGCAAGTATGAGAGATTCGACATTTTCCTTTCCAGTTCCTCGAACGGTGTTACTTCTTTATTCTTAGTAGGAATTTATTCAGCACATGACACACGGTCAATATAGCCTCACCCCACCATTCCTTGGAAAGCCCTGCAATGTCTAACATGTCATTCACCAAACTCAGTTAGAGTGTGATTCTTTCTTTCGGCAAACCCGTTTGACTAGGAAAAAAAGGGAGTCGTTCTCTCATGAATAATTTTAGACTCTTCATAGAAAGAAGTAAATTTATTTGAAAAATACTCTCCACCTCGATCAGACCTCAACCGTTTAACTTTTCTTTCAAGTTGGTTTTCTACCTCAGCCTTATACATTTTCACGTAATGCAATGCATCATCTTTTGCAAAATCTAATGCAATTATCTATAAGTGTCATGAAGTATTTCTTTTTCCCCTTTAGTCAACACACCATACATTTCGCACAAATCAGAATGACCAATTTCTAGCAGTGCCAAATTTCTTGTCTCTGATGCCTTGTAAGGCTAAGTATGGCATTTGGAACCTTTTACCAAAGTGAATTTCGGAATTAATTAACTCATTGTAGCTAAGCACAACATGCAACTAAAATTCACATGACAGACGTGAATGCCAAACATTGGACTCATCATCATTACTCACATAGTTCACAACATTATTACATGCGTCATCCAACATTATTACATGTGTCATCCACAGAAAAGCGGTACAAACCTCCGTTGTCATAACCTTTAGCAACAAATGTTTCATATTTAGACACGACACATTTATTGGACTCAAACACAAGTTTAAAATTTTAAACATTGATCGTGCCAACACATGCGAACCGTTCTGCATCAGCAAGGAGGAATCTCTCCTGACCTGATAAAAATAAAACAGGGAAATATCAACACACAACCACCAGTATCAACCCACCACTTAGGTGAATGAAATACATAACGAACTGTAGGTAAAAAATTACCATACCAAGATGTTACTCCTCCATCGCTAATAACCATGTTTGCAGATTTTTTGACCTTGCGATCAGGGCAATACTTGGCCCAATGACGACTTAACACACACACACAAAGCAGTTATCCTTTGCCTTTCTCTTGCCTTTTTTTTTTAAAATTGGTTATAGCCTTGGGTTTGATATCATATATGACTTTTTTTCATAAAATTAGTTGTAGCCTTGTTGTGGGATGCTTGAGCATTCCTTTTCTGCACCAAATGCTAAAACCTCCCTCAAACTTTTTGTCGCGGTTGTTCTTTGCTATCACCTTCTCCTCAACACCCAAAGAGGCAATGAGATCAATAACACTGAACACTTGCCTCATGTGTTTTAGACAAGTAGCAAAGTCCAACCAATATGTCATCTATCACAAACTTGTCTAGCAACTCGTAGATGTTGTTCTCAAGTTCCTTTGGTAGTGCCTGAAACTCATGAGCTTGTTTTACTATAGAACGGTCATCGACGATCTTATACTCATAGCAATGTTTCATGACATACAACTCACTGCCAGTATCGAAGACTCCGAACATGGCCTCAAGTGCATCCCACATATCCTTTCGTGAAGGCATGTGCATGTACACTTCTACTCTTTTGTTGGCTAATACACTTATCTATGCTCCACGGAACAAGCAATTCGCGAACTCGAACTTAGCCTCCTCCACAGGGGAGAGACCGTACGATCGTCTTGCCCTATGAAACAAAGAAATATTGCATAGCCGTCAACCACAATAGTGCACGTGCCTTCTATCTCTTATAATTTGAACCATCAATTGCATGAGGTTTAAGTGATGCAGCAAAGGCAACTACCAAAAAGACCTGTCAAGTTTTTGGATTGTTGAAAATATAATCATAATCTCTACTATCATAAAATTGAAGATATTTTTCTGGTATTTTGGTAAGTCATCCGTGCTTGAGTCGGTTTTAATTTCTTGTTTCGGTTTTAATCTCTACTCCTCAAAATCCGTAATTTAAAAAAGGGCGAAAAAAATCACACGGAAAAAGAAAACGCCCATAAAATAACATGAAAGATAAACAGGGAAAAAAACGTCCGATTCGTACCGGAACGAAAAAAAGGCAAAAAATGCTGGGTAAAACAAAAAAAACCGACCATAAAAAAATGCAGGACATTGGCAAAGTACTTCAGATATAACATGTACTACTCACTGTAGTTATGTGGTACTTCTATTCAATTAATCATCTCTCAGTACACATTGCACAAAGTTATAAGTTCTCACCCGTAGTTTACATTAGGACCAGTTCGATTATTGTACTTGTAACGATGATTCATGCTGTCATGCATGCATAAAGCGGTGCGTGGATCCTACGTATGCCAGCCATTAATGGATAGGTTATTATCATTTATATTCTCTTCGTCTCAGGACAAACCAACTTAAGATATAAGATGCTACTCAACTAAGGTCCTGTTTGTTTCAGCTTAAAATTATTGTAATCTAGACTATTAAATCAGATTACTCTAAGCAGGATTATAATAAGCTGACATAAAATAAGCTACGAGTTGTTTGTTTCTCTAGATTATTAGAGTCATCTAAGGGTAGTGGGTCATTAGCCACTTAATAATCTGGAAAAAGCTCCTCTAGAGGAGATTATTGGATTATAGTAATCTGGCTTATAGATTATAATAATCTAGCATAATAATCTACTTGTTTGTTTTAGCTTACTCCTAATAATCTAGATTATAATAATCCTAAGCTGAATCAAACAGGGCCTAAGCCAACCAAAGGGGGTGAATGGTTGGTATACCAAAAAACCGAAACTTTTAGCGGAAATAAAAATGACCCCCAAATTCGACGGAGATCGGTCTGACCGCAGTTGTCCAGCCGGTCTGACCGCGCCTGTGCCGTCGGTCCAACCGGTGTAGAACGATCGGTCTGACCGCCCTGAGATCGCCTTTACGCCGCCGGTCTGACCGCCTTTACGCCGCTGGTCTGACCGCCGTGATGCCGCCGGTCTGACCGCCGGTGTGTCGCTAGTTAGACCGCCGAAATCCGGTGAAATACAAATCGAAGAACTCTTAAAGTGGGTGACTACTTTATTGATTCTCTCTGTGTTTACAAACTCATACTAGAAGTCCTATACAACTTAGGAAACCCTCTAGTACAAGAAACAAACTTTACATAACCACTCATACCAAATTTGGACTCCTTTCAAATTCGACTCCGCATTCCATACACACACAATACCTCCATCGTATACCATATGGAATCTTCACCAACCATGTGTATTGAACTCTAGCCGTAGTATCCCGTATGATCTCTGACCACCACGGACGTCGTCTTATCCCCAAGCCGACTCTTAGTCCATCACCGCAAATACTCTCCTGCCATCCGAGTCACCTACACATAGAACAAACAAAGAAATCATATTCCGAGACCAAGCTATCTCCAACCTTGACTCATTAGTAGCAAACAACAGTATTACATACGTATAGTATCCATCTAGAAGCCATAATCATGAAACAATCACGGATATCCAAACAAACAACCCGAAACCGAAACCGACACAGAGTCCGCCGGTCAGACCGCGGGCTGCACCGGTCTGACTGCGCGATACACGCCGGTCTGACCGGTAGCACATGCCTGGTCTGACCGGACCTATTCCAGCAGTACCTGTAGATTTACCTGTGAAATCCAATCATCTCCTAAACCACTTCGTGAATAAATTCTAAATATCAAAACCAATAATCTCCGATGCCAATTGTTCATCACAGAATAACAATCAAAAACACCTTTAATTTTACAGTTACATAGTCTAGTATAACGAATCTGAATATCATCATGTCCAGATTTATTGTATTAAGTTATACCATATCCTTTCACAGATTTACTACTGAGTGATCAGATCATTCAGTTTGGACGGCATCAATTCGCCCATCTACAAATACGGCGCCAACTTGGTCTTTTTAATTTGCTCATAGCTGGTAGATCATAGTTGGATCGATCAACAATGCAAGCTGTGTATATTGATCGCCTATATAAACCACGCGTTGCCTCACCTTTCACTTCATCCATCTCTACACATCAGCAATAGCTACACAGAGCTAAGCTAGGGTTAGCTCAGCAATGGCAGGTGCTCCTCGAGGACTAGTTCTCCTCGGCGTTTGTGCCGTCTTGATGGCGGTCGCCGTCGGCGGAGAGGCGGCGTCGGTCGTCGTCGGCACGGCCAAGTGCGCCGACTGCACCAGGAAGAACATGAAAGCTGAGGATGCTTTCAAGAGTACGTAACAATTTATCTGGAATTCACTGAGCTGATCAGCTATACACCATCAGGATCAGAAAGATATAGCTAATTACAAGTGATTGACAATATTATTTGGAATTCTTTTATTCAGACCTCCAGGTGGCGATCAAGTGCAAGAACGGCAATGGTGAGTACGAGAGCAAGGCCACCGGAAAGCTCGACGGTACCGGCGTCTTCAGCATCCCCCTCGACGCCGACCTCCACAGCTCCGACTGCGTCGCACAGCTCCATGGCGCGACCAACGAGCCATGCCCCGGACAAGAGCCATCCAAGATCGTGCCAATGTCAGAGGGCACCTTTATCGCCGTCGCCGGCCAGACCCACTACCCATCAGCGTTGTGCGCATCGGCGACCATCTGCGGTCCCATCAAGAAGAAGATCATAGACCACTTCCACAAGAAGCCGGTGCCACCCAAGCCAGAGCCAAAACCGGAGCCACCCAAGCCCAAGCCTGAGCCGGAGCACCCATTCCTCGACCACATCCACAAGAAGGAGAAGCACTTCTTCGATCACTTCCACAAGAAGCCCGTGCCGCCCAAGCCAGAGCCCAAGCCGGAGCCCAAGCCAGAGCCCAAGCCGCAGCCTGCGCCTGAGTACCACAACCCGAGCCCTCCGGCGAAGAATTGATGAATATGATCTGCATTGGATGGACATTAGCATGTTTGATCATGCCGCAGATGATGATCCTGCTCAGCACAGGAGTGTAATTTGTACTTGATTATCGGGCATCAGCAGGGATGTTTGTACTATTTGCATATTTTTCTCTCCCAAATGAAATTATATATGGTAAAATAATTTATTTACATTTAGCCAGATTTGGTGGGACGACTGATTATTCACCATTTAGCATTCACCTTAGCTTGATTCAAGCTACTGGGCTCGGCCGAGAGAAACGTACGGTACTTGATCTTACGATAAGTCATGGCAGCGGTGGCAAGACGGTTGTGACCAGAATTTAGGGCCTGCATGGAAATCTGAACTTTTTTTTTTGGTCAATTAAGTGTAAAATAATATGTTTACCATATTGGAACCCAGAAAAGCTGCTTCGATACATGGACTAAAACACACTAAATTTACCGTTGTACTATTTGGGAAAACTTTTTAAGCTACGGGTGAACGCCGAATTGTTTAATTTATATCGACTAAATGATTATAAAATCTTTTTAAACAAATGACATGAATATATTACTCTATAAATTAACATGCTAGTATAAATTTGGCTTCTGCAAATTGTAACAAAAATAAAAATAATAAATTTGACTGCAAATAAACGTATACTAATTAAAGTTTAATACGTTATTTTTTTATAACTTGCGCATAAGTCAAATTTAAACTTGCATATTTGTGAAGTGATGCATTACATATTAATCTACCTTTTTATCAATTTTTTCAGAACTATTTAGTTGACATGTGATGAACAGGTGGACGTTCACTCGGGTGATTAAAATCCTTCTCCTTGTATTTGGGCCACTCCAACAGAAATTAGGAGTGTGGTCTCAAAGAAGCCACACTTTTTCGAATTAGGGCGGGGGGTGGAGGGGGGCGGCGCCAGCCACCCTGGCGCCGCGGCGCCAGGGGCGGGCCCAGGTTTTTCAACTTGGGTATTCGAAATTGTAAGAGAAAAAATTTTCTAACCCAAGGTCTAATAGTTGTATAATATGTAACGGTATAAGCATGATTTTATAAAGTCATAAATAGATAGAATTGACCATAAATTGAATGCGTTAAGCATATTAGAGTACATTACTAAACTATTATTGACAAAACAAATCAAATTTATAGAGCACATAAAATGGCAAAATGATAAAAAAAATCTTACAATTTAGAGAGAACTTTTCGTTTCTTGATATTTTGAAAATGATTGATCATGTCTTCATTCTTAACTTGCAAGAAGAAATCTCTTTCAATGAATGTAACCAAGCAATCATTCAAATATTCTGGCCCCATCTTGCTTCTTGCAATCATTCAAATAATCAATACACTTCAGTTCAGTCTGAAGAAGCATTCAAACAATAATATCCTCATTAGTCATTCAAGCATTGAAGCAATATCCTCATTCAAGCATTCAAGCAATATCCTCAATCCTCATAATTCATTAATCGATATCCTAGTATTTCCTCACCGGCTCACCGACTCACCGTTGCTCGGTTGCTGTCTTGCTGACTGCTGTCGAGGATGGGAGGAGACAAGTTGGGCAGCTCCGCAGCTGGGCAAGAGCCAGGAGGCGTCGAGGCGGCGTCGGCGGGCGGGCGGTGGGCCGCGCCGCCGCGGGCGACGGCCGAAGCCGGGCTGGCGCCGTGGCGCGGCGACGGTGCGTGCGTCGGCCTAGCGAGCTGGCGGCGGCTGGCGTGGCGGCTGGGAATGGGAAGGGGATGGGAAGGGAGGTGAGGAGAAGAGATAGGGTTAGAAAGGAAGTGGGCTTTTCTTTGCTATTGGGCCAATGGGCCTGAAATGCTGGGTGGTGGGAGGGTTCAGTTTGGGCTTCTTTTGATTTTTGAATGGGTATAAGTATTTTTTTTCTTTTTTCCTATATATACATATGGAATATATACTTCATATATGTATTTTTTGTGCAAAAATTTTGGGTATTCATTTGAATACCCATGAATTGAAGTGGGCCCGCCACTGTGCGGCGCCAGCCGTCGGCCGGAGGAAGAAGGTGGGGGGGAGAAGGGTGTGGAGGGGTGCGCCAGCCATGCTAGCGCCGTGTTATAAGGGGCGGCGCCAAGGTGGCTGGCGCCCCCCTTGGCCTAGTCAGCACGACGACGACACCCTACTGCCACAGTGGCATGGGCGCGACACCATGGTGGCTGGCGCCGCCATGTTTGGGGACGGCGCCAGCCACTCTGGTGCCTAAAAAGGACCATTTTCGATTTAAGTTTTTCCAAGGGTCCATTTGTAAAATAAGTTTACAAAAAGGACCAAAATGTAAAAATTTCAAGTGAGCAAGTACTCGGTCTTTCTATTCTTCCCAACCACAGAACCAGTGTACTTTTGGAAGACGATTACTCGAAGGAGTAGGTTCATAACTGCTGTCAAGGATGTCCGTGGAGTGGAGTCGCCACGCTGCGAGCATCAAGTTATATAGTTTAGCTCACTTTAATTTTCCGCTACATATATAAGACTTTTAATAATACTTGTAAGACGTGAATCTGTGTATCAACTTTGTCATTTGTGTACCTTGGCCGGTCATGGACAGGGTTTTTATGCACATTCCGCTTTGGGAATTCTGGTTCGTGAATTTCTAGGCGTGACAGTAGGAAGGCTGCTATTTCTGAAATTTTGATGAACAATGTGATTCGACTTGAATTCTATATTGTTTCATCAAATTCTGTGGCTCCAAGTTGACGCTTTGTTTTGATGCATGTTCATACTCATCTGTTGGATCAGCAATGAACCTTACTTATTCTTCTCCCAAACAGTTCGACTGTAGGGGAATATATATTTCACTGGTACTTTTGGATAACTCAAATTTACTGGTGCATTACAGTCAAGTTTGTCAAGCAGACTGAAATAAGGGAGGAAAAGGTTATACTCCATCTGTTTCAAAATATAGTAACGGGATACTTGATTAGACACCAGCTAGTACTAGGCTACTATATTTTGATGCCTAATCGTATGAATGTGTATATACAAATGCGAACTAAAATTCGAAATGATTTTTTATTTTGTTTGCACCTAAAAATCAAAAACTGGAGATTCATTTTTATTGGCAACTCTAAAAAAACCAGCCGTGAAAATATTTATTCACGGGTGACTGACTTTGCTCCTGTTTAAATGATTGATTTTCACGGGTTATTGGTTATAGGCAGGTGGAAAAACATCCATATATATAAATTATGGACCACCTAAACAAACGGTTTTTTATGTACCGATGAGTGTCAAAGTCTAAGTTTAGAATTTAAACTATTTAGATGGGTCAAAAAAAAATTCCTAGGAGCGTTTGCAGCAGAAGTTCCACCAAATAGGGCCCCAGCGTAGACTCGTAGTTGGGACGGATGGCCAAAACCTCCAATATTGCTGCAAGACAAACTTGGCTCATCCCCTTAACATAGAACTGTACCATTATATTATATTGGCAAATCCTTTACATGTCCAGGGTATAAACATTGGGGTAACTCGTATGAATAGTCCCTCAAGGGTTATCATTCATGAAAACAAAATTTTATTAATCAGAGAAAATGATTATCTTTTGATTCTTAGAATCTACTAGCTTGGTAGTGGTTATTATAAGCCGTGATATGTGCCTGAAGCAACCAGGCTGCGTTCGGATGAGGGGTTCCCAGCCCCTCTCTCCCGTATTCCACGTGCATGCTTTTGAAACTGCTAAACGATGCGTTTTTTAAAAAAAGTTTCTGTACGAAAGTTGCTTAACAAAATCATATTGATCCATTTTTGAAAAAAAAATTAGCTAATACTTAATTAATCACGTGCTAATGGACCGCTCCGTTTTTCGTGCGGAGGATTTGGTTTCCCAACTCATGGTATCGAACACAGCCTAATTTTAGGGAGGACATATATACCTATATATTCATAGTGGTTTAAAAAGGCAAGGCTAAAAAAAATCTATACTAGTCTAAAAATTACTAAGTTTTAGAAATAAAAGTTGGTTGTAACCTAAAACAATTCGTGCAGGTGGTGCTTGCCTGTCATAGCAGAGTAGGCACCATTGGTTTCTCTGCTTGAGCGCTTGGTATACATTCACACACACAACCCAAGCCCCCAGGAAAAAACATTCATGTACGGTTTGCCATTTTAAGTGAAATTATTTTTTTCACAGAAAACTGCACATGAGAAAAACCTTAAAAATTTACCAAATAAAGTTCATGACAACATTCACTTCCAATAATTTTGGCACAAGTTTTTGAGCACTGCCAAAGGTGTGCATCCCATCTGGTGGGAGGCACATCGCGCGGCAAGACAGGCTTGTAGAGGGGGAGAGGTGGAGAGAGAATATGAGATGATGGGAGGCACATCGCGCGGCAGACAGGCTTGTAGAGGGGGAGATGTGGAGAGAGAATATGAGATGGGGTATAGAGGAGTGAAGGGAGAGTAGAGGAAGAAGATGAAAATGACACGTGGGTCTCATGTGAGGATTGGGAGGCTTAAATGGTGGGCAGTTTGTACCGAGGGCAATTTGGGTATTTCAAAAAAAGAAATTTGTGTAACACGAACGGCGATGGCATTTTTAGGACAAGTTGGTTCGTACGATGATATTTTTAGAAAGTTATGTTCATCAATGGCATTTTTTTTGAAGTAAGACATTTGTCAACGGTTTTATTGGATAAATTTCATAAAACCCTATATTATATATTTTGCGTTCAATGTAGAAAGCCACCGAATTATGGATTGTAGCACATAAAACCCGTTATTTAAATTCTAAATTAATTTCAGCATATCTTAAAAACAATATTTTTCATAGCAGTGAATAGTAAAACCAACAAACCTCAAACAAGAATTCAACAATTAAAATTTTATATAGACTCCATATTTTAAAAAGTTAGTAAATGCATGTTCATGAGAATTCTGGAATTGGCTGGGTTGTTCAGTTTAAGAGGGGAAGCAACTTAACATGGAAATTCATGAAATATCTACGGCAGGCTCCTAACACAGCGTAGAATCTTATGTATTTTCCTAGACTTCTCTCTCTTGTCCTATAGTTTGGAGTTTGTCAAGTTCTACTCCATTTATACAGTACGCATCCTAATTTCATGAACATTCTAATTCAACAGAGTGACATGGATTCTACCAGCAAACACTAAACATATGCATACTTATGAAATAGTAGAACAATTTTCACATTTATTTACATT